TGTAACTTTTCAGAGCATCAATTTACACTTTTTCCTTTAAAATACAGAAGATTTATTTCTGGCATAGTCTCAAGGGGTAGGAATGTAGTTAAGCACCAGATTAAAAATCTTTGCCATATGCCGAGTCTGACTGTGCTGCTATTGAAAGTCCCTGGAATGTTACTGGATCTGCTTTGTCCACTCTCAGATGAAAGCCTGAGGTAGGAAGTGTGATGGACTGTGCTGGTGCTCTCAAATTATGATACATGAACTATTCGCAAGTGCTAGATACTAGCAGTGGTTCCTGATTCTGTCTTTGTACTAGAACTTGACTAAACCAAGAATTTAATATTTCCATGCAATGTGTAGAGCAGTACCAGCAGCTACCAACATCTGTGATCTGAAGTTGCTACTCTGCACAACAGTTTCGGTCTTGGTGGAACTGTTTGACCACCAGTGAGTGTTTTCATCTGTGCTTCAAAGTCCTTATTTCCATGCAGTGGTTAACACCAGTCTGCTGCTGGGGGTGAATGTAGTCTCAGTTTCTCAACAGATGGGAGTTTTATCCAAGGTGAAACCTGATGCCTGTTTCAAAATGCTGGAACAGGAGCAGGAAGGTGCTGTAGTGGTTGAGTCACTGGGAAGCATCAGCGGCTGGCAGCAGGAGCAGCTTGCAGGCTCGGGATCTGCAGCAGGGAACTGAGAGCAGGACTTGAGGACAAGCAGTTATGTACCCAGGGCTCAAACTGAAGTTCTCTGAGAACATGGGGGCCTCAGTCTAGGGGATGGTGATAGTCTAGGGGAGTGAAGGTAGGCTTTCTCCTGTGCATGCGGTGCTTCGTACACAGCTGGAAGCTTCTGCATCCTTTGCTTGCACTGAACACAAGTATAAGGAATCCATCAATGGCCTATCAAATGTTTTTCCACATTTGTACAGTGAGTAAAACAGAAGCAAAAAGCAAACAAACATGAAATGAACAACTGCTTCCTGTGTTCACTACTGCAGCACTTTTTTTCACAACACTTACAAAGTGCCAGTGCGGAATGAAAGTACATTCAAAAGATAGAGTATTTTGGCATGTCTTAAATGTGTAGCATAATTATGGTGAATATATATGGCAAATTTACTGGTGGATGGTAAGCTGTACATGAGCCAGCAATGTGCCTTCAAAGCCCAGAAAGGTAACTGTATCCTGAGCTGCATCAAAAGAATCTCAGCATGCTGAGAGAGGTGATCCTGCCCCCCAAATACGTGCTACTAAGGCCTCACCTGGAGTACTGCATCCAGATTTGGAGTCCTCAGTACAGAAGAGACACGGACCCGTTGGAGTGTGTCCAGAGGAGGGCCAAGAAAATAGTCCCAGGGATGGAACACCTCTCCTACAAGGACAGGCTAAGAGAGCTGAGGCTATTCAGCCCGGAGAAGAGAAGGCTCCGGGGAGACCTGAGAGTAGCCTTTCAGTAACTGAAGGGGGGGGAGGTGCTCTAAGAAAGTAGGGGACAGATTCTTTAGCAAGTTCTGTCGTGACAGACTAAGAGGAAATGGTTTCAAACTAACAGACAAGAGATTTAGACTGGGTATAAAGAAAAACATTTTTACAATAAGGGTGGTGAAGCACCTGATGTAGCTGTAGGTGGTTCATTGCAGGGGAGTTGACTAGATGACCTTTAAAGGTCTTGACGTGTGGAATCAAACTCTGTAACCCAAGTAAGACTACAAAGCAGGTACAGTTTATTCAGTGCTGCACAGACACCTAGGTGCAAGGGGGATAGATCCGCCTAACTTGCACGCTGTCAGGAAAAATCATGCTACAGATATAGGCCAAACTAATACATAATCAATAGTTTTCCTGGAATTCGGATACATATTCATTACACCCCAAGAGTTCGTTAGCATGCTGACCCTCCCCTCTTGCACATGCGTAGTGGGTTGTGGGATGAAGATTTGTTGTTTTCCTCGCAAAGGCTTCTGACCATTTTCGCTGTAAACTCCTGGCCTTTTGGGGGGGGGGGCATCCCCCCAAACCAGTTTCTTCTTGCCCTGTGGACATCTAATCACCTCCCTGCCAAATGTCCTTGGGCTGTTCTCAAACCCTTATCTTTATGGCCTTCATCCCCCTCACTATCCCAGACACAGTGTCTGCCATCCCTTATTTTCTAACAAGCTCTACATTCTTGCTTCTGTAAACTATCTCTAACTATTCCCCTTCACCCCCCTTATTCTCAGTCACTGTGAAGCCTTCTTGCCTTTTTATTTTCACTTATGGGGCCCGTCTCACCTTTTAGTCTCTTCCAACTCAAACAATTTTATGATTCTATTATATATACTAGTGATTTTTTTTTTTTTTTTAGGACACATCAGTGATTTCCATATTTCCCTTTCTTTTCCCATGAACATATCTGCTGATAAAACAACTCCTGAATATTGACAGCACCAAGAATGTCATCCAGTTAAAGACTAAGACCTATGAATTCAAGTTTCTGCATGCAGATAGCTGCTTGTTAAACAGAAGCAGGATTCATCTTCTTGGTGTGGGGAACTGAAGCCCACTGAGGTACCCATGTATCTGTTAGCTGTGCTGCAGTAGGTTCGGTCCAGGACTTGCAAAGCCTCAGGCCCTCCTGAAGTAGCAGTAGAAAGCAAACATGACCTTGAGCTCACAGCCCCCAAGGCAGCACTGAATTCAGTAGTCCACTTCCTGTGCATTCCGCTGTTCAGAATACTGCAGATCACCCAGCACAGCCTCCAGCTGACAATATGCAGTCCCTCTGGAGACTGTCCAGCCCCATGTATGTGGCCTGAATATCACACAGCATCCTGAATAACACTAGACACTTGCATTTATGCAGCCAAATTCTGTACTGTTGGGCTGTGACGTTTTTTCATAAACTTGACTTTGAGCTGATTCTCAGGAAAACCACAAGATAGGTCAGAAAACAGTAAATGAGAGGCTGTCTTCCTTTGTAGGTGCTCCCCATGCTTGGAGACATTCAAGGACAATCACGAACCCCTTAGTCAGAGCACTGTGATGAACGGCACAGAGTCTAGTTGTAGGCCTGTAACTAGTGGTGTTTCCCAGGAGTCAGTCCTGGGCCCAAGCTTGTTCAACAATTGTCAGCAATCTGGATGAATGGATGAGCAAGTGTGATGATGATACAAAGCTGGGAAGAGTGAATGACACACTGGAAGGCTGTGCTGCCACTCAACAAGACCCGGACAGGCTGCAGAGTTGGGCAGAGAGGAACCTGATGATGTTCAACATGAGCAAGTGAATTGTCTTGCACCTATGGAGGAATAACTGTGTGCACCAGTACAGGATAGGGGATGATCTGCTGGAAAGGAGCTCTGCAAAGAAAGACCTGGGTGTCCTGGTGGAGAAAGGGCTAGTCACAAGCTGGCAGTGTGCCCTTGTGGCCAAGAAGGCCAGTGGCATCCTGGAGTGCATTAAAAAGAGTGCATCTCTTGCACTAGGTAGAGGAAGGTGATCCTTTCCCTTTACTCTGCCTTGGTGAGGCCACATCTGGAGTGCTGTGCTCAGTTGTGGGCTCCACAGTTCAAGAAAGACAGGGAGCTATTAGAGAGAGTCTAGCAGAGGGTGACAAAGATGATTAGGGGCCTGGAGCAAAAAAAAATCTCCCATATGAGAAAAGGCTGAGAGACCTGTGGCATTTCACTCTGGAGAAGGTTCTGAGGGTATCTCATCACTATTTACAGAATCACAGAATCACAGAATGGTCAGGGTTGGAAGGGACCTCAAGAATCATGAAGTTTCAATCCCCCTACCACATGCAGGGCCACCAACCTCCCCATTTAATACTAGACCAGGCTGCCCAGGACCCCATCCAATCTGGTCTTCCACATCTCCAGGGATGGGGCATCCAAAACCTCTATGGGCAGCCTGTTCCAACCCCTCACCACTCTGTAAAGAATTTCCCCCTTGACATCCAACACAAATCTTCGCTCCTTCAACTTAAAACCATTTCCCCTTGTCCTGCAGTTATCTACTCTTTCAAAGAGCTGACTTCTCCTCCTGTTTGTAGGCTCCCTTTAGGTACTGAAAGGCTGCAATGAGGTCACCCCGCAGCCTTCTTTTCTCCAGGCTTAACTAGCCCAGCTCCCTCCACCTGTCTTCATAGGGGAGGTGCTCCAGCTGCTTGATCTCCTCTGGACCCTCTCCAACAGCTCCCTGTTTTTCTTGTACTGGGGGCTCCTGACCTGGATACATTACTCCAGATGAGGCTTCACAAGAGCAGAGTAGAGGGGGACAATCACCTCCCTGTCCCTGCTGGCCACCCCTCTTCTGATGGAGACTGTTTATAATTATCTGAAGTGCAGGAATCAAGTCAATGGAGGTGGAGTCTTTTTGGTGGCGTGCAGCAATATAACGTGGGGACAAGGGACAGAAACTGGAACAGAGGTGGTTTCATACAGACATAAGAACTTCATTGTGAGGGTGATGGCGCACTGGAACAGGCTGCCCAGAGAGGCTGTGGAGTCTCTTCTGGAGATATTCAAGACCTGTCCAGACGCTTTCCTAGCTAGGTGTTGGACTTGATCTCTAGAGGTCCCTTCTAACCCCTACAGTGCTGTGATTCAGTGGCTGGACAGGGCCCTAAGTACCCTGGATCTAGCTGTAGGTATCCATGTGCGCTGCAGGTTAGTTGGATGATCTGATCCTTAAAGGTCCCTTCCAACTCAAACGATTCTATAATTCTTTGCTCTGAGGGAGAACGCAGATATAGCGAACACAGCGCTACACAGCACCCAGCGCCTTCCACCGCCACCAGCCGCCGCCCGCTGCGCATGCGCCACCGCCCGCTCTGTCCTACTCCACCGCCGCGCAGGCCGCCATCGCTCCCGGACAGGAAGCGGAAGTTGTGGCGGCTGCGCGCGGCGGCGGCGGCGCACGCGGGGTTGGCTGCCGTTTCCTGCGGGGCCCAGCCGGCACCCGGCCTGGCCCGGCGACTACGGGTGAGGCGGGGAGGGGGCGGGGAGCCGCGCCTCCGCCGGCGTCTGGTCGGGGACGCCGTCGTGGTTCGTAGTGGTGAGGCTACCGAGGGCCGGTGGCGGGGCTGCGGGCCTTTATGTAAAGGGGTGTTTTTGTGTCGTTGCAGGCAGCTCGCGAGGAGCCTTCCTGCTGGCGAACGGGGCAGCCTTCGCAGCGCTCCCCGCTGGGGTGCGTTTGTTGTTCGGGGCGGGCTGACGTCGCTCCCGTTCCTTCCTCCCTGCAGCAGGGGTAGCCGAGCCGCTTTCCGAGCCGTCGCCGCGAGCCGGCTTCGTGTGTGCCCCGAGATTGCCGTCGGCTCCTTTTCTTCTGAGGCCTTGCTGAGTTTTAATTATTTGTAGGTTCTGGTGGTTGTAAAGTAATTTAAGATGTTTGTACCGCTCGGTTTTAGCTCGGTAATTGACTCTTGTGTTAGGAGACGTTGGTTGGGAATGGTTAAATGTCCAAAGAATTGGATTGTTTACGGATAAGGGCTGTTTTATTTGACTACTGTGGGCCTGCAACTTTAAACTTGCATCTTTATTTTATTTATTTTTTCTCATCCTGTGCTTTTTCTGTGTTATGGCTGCTGCAACGATAGTTCATGATACATCAGAAGCTGTAGAGCTCTGTGCTCCCTGTGGGTTATACCTTAAACCCATTACAAAAATGACCATCAGTGTGGCACTTCCTCAGCTGAAACAACCCGGAAAGTCCATTTCGAACTGGGAAGTGATGGAAAGACTGAAAGGGATGGTGCAAACCCATCAGTTTTCCACTCTGCGGATTTCCAAAAGCACGATGGATTTCATCCGGTTCGAAGGAGAGGTTGAAAACAAAAGTTTAGTCAAGTCTTTCCTTGCGTGCCTCGATGGCAAAACGATCAAGCTGAGTGGCTTCTCTGACATTTTGAAAGTCCGTGCCGCAGAATACAAGATTGACTTTCCTACCAGGCATGACTGGGATTCGTTTTTCCGTGATGCAAAAGACATGAATGAAACTTTGCCAGGGGAAAGGCCGGATACCATTCATCTAGAAGGCTTACCTTGTAAGTGGTTTGCAGCAAAGGACTCTGGCTCAGAAAAGCCAAGTGAAGAAGTCCTTACAAAAGTTTTCCAGAAATTTGGAGAAATACGTAATGTGGACATACCCATGTTGGACCCTTACAGAGAAGAAATGACTGGCAGAAATTTTCACACGTTCAGCTTTGGAGGCCATTTAAATTTTGAAGCTTATGTTCAGTATCGGGAGTATGCAGGTTTCATTAAAGCCATGAATGCCCTGCGAGGGATGAAGCTGATGTTTAAAGGCGATGATGGCAAGGCTGTGGCTTGCAATATAAAGGTGAGAAGCTGTTGTCACAGATAAATGTTAATTCCATAGTGCCTAAAGCCTACAGTTGTTTACCAGCTGGCATTACTATACGGTATGGGGAACCAGTCCTAATGCAGTTCTAAAAGGAAAGTGGTAGAATAAACATGCTGTTAGACTGTAAACAAAGCAGGATGAGGCTATGCTCTTGCTCTTTTTTTTTTCCCTAAACAAAGCATTTACTGATATGAAAACAGCCAAGCAACTACCAAATATTGGGAACGTTACTTGTTAGATGGATTTTATAAAGTTATATATATTTGCAAATCTTGTGTTTTAATTTAAAAAATAATTTGTAGCAAATTCAGACTTGCTATGGCTGATTTTGAAGTGCATTTTCTTTTGTATAGACTAACAATTAGAAATTCTGGGAAGAGTAATAGCCTTTATATTTAATACCTGTGTTGATAAGGAGCTCTATCTGTCAAGTGTCAGAATTGTGAAGTAATGCTGTGTGGCCTCTATGGCCTGTGGAATACTGAGTTAATTGTGATTAGCGTACTTCATGAACAGAAAGGCCATTCAAACATTGAAACAACATGTTAGCCTATTTCTCTGTGAATCCAGTGTATTGAATTCATAATATTTACATGCTGAGTTCTTCAGATCTTTTTCTCCGTGACCTCGTTGTCTTAGAAGTTATTGGTGGGAGATTATCTGTCAGTCTCTTCACGTTATATCTGTGCAAGTGTGGCCTAAGGAAAGGTTGTGATATGTTAGGAGACTTGTCTGTGTATTTGTATATTGGCTGAATTCCTTGCTTATTTCAGTATATTTGATTTTCATTCATCCAATGAGCAAGCAGATTTCAGGAAAAAGCTTGAGTACTCATTTATGTAATTTGGGAGCATGCAAATATTAATTTATTAAGTTCTAATTCAGGCAGTTATTATCTTGTTATCAAAGTTGGTCAGCTGAAACGTACACAGTGTTGTACGTATACCCTCCTATTCTCAAGGGGATGTGAAATTCAAACTGTCACTTGCGTGCAGTGGATTGAGGTTCCCAAATTTAGTTTCTCTTTGCAAGAGTGTGCATGCCTTCCTGGCAGCTGCCCTGGAATTGATAGCAGAGAGAGAAGACTGTGTCTGTGCTGTCAAGACAGATCACTTTCATGCGAGGTCAAGAAGACTATCCAGCTCTTTTTCTACAGGACTTTTATTGAAACATTGTTTTTATGTTGTTTGACCAAATTACACTGCACGGTATGTATTCCTTCTTCTGTGCTCCATGGTTCATGTCTTCCACAATACAACAGCCTGTGTTACAGATCCCTGCTTGCACGTGGGTGGTATTGCAGAGTTATAAAATCATTCGGTGGTTTGGGTTGGAAGCGACGTTGAAGATCATCTATTTCCAAATGCTCTGCTGTGGACAGAGGTGCTGCCCACTAAACCAGGTTGTGGTATTTCACACAGGATTTGAGGACACCACGAGTGCGATGTGTGTTCTTGGGTGCAGCTGGACATGGCCAAGCTGTGTCCATGCATTCTAGAAGATGAGCATTTCCCCAGATCTCACTGTTCAGTTGTATGCAGCATCATCATGTTGTGTTTCCTGTGTTAAATCTGTAGCTATAAGCAACAGCCTAATATATCTCAATTTGTGAATCTTTACACTAGGGTAGGTGAGCAGGCACTTGCTTAAACCAGATGCTAAATGTTTTAGGACTGTTTATTTTCCCCAGAAGAACTTCAAGATTGCAGGGTTGCACACAAAGGGAAGCCTCTGTTAAGGCCCATTTCTGCCTAGAGCTGTGGCATACATGAGTTGAAATTTCTATTTGCTATTCTGGAAAACATTGTACAGCCTGGGCCTGAACCTCATGCAGTTTACAGCTGGCTGTCAAAACACAGAAAAGTGTAAATTGGTACCTCATTGTTCTAGCATGTAGGAAGTAACCTTCAGAGACATTTCCCAGTCATCATCTTATGGTTCTTTAGTGCTTGTTTGTTTTGAAAAACACTGTTTCTGACTGTATTTACACTGTCTTTTGTTCTGTTGTTTTTTTTTGTTGGTTTTTTTTTGTTTGCTCTGTTTACTTACATCTCTTTTAACTTATATTCTATAAAGGTTTCTTTTGACTCAACAAAACACCTCAGTGATGCATCAATTAAGAAGCGTCAGCTTGAAAGGCAGAAGCTTCAAGAGCTTGAAAAGCAGAGAGAAGAACAAAAACGCCGGGAGAAGGAAGCTGAGGAAAAACTAAGAGAGGAAGAAAGGTAGTTATTGCTTATGGCTCTCAGTTATATCCTGAACAGTAAAGTATGGCTAAACTGCAGTTACTTGTTCCTGTTTGCATCAATAGAAAACAACTGAGTACTTGCGAAGTTTACTTACTCCTGCAGCTGAAGCAAAGCACTTAAAAATGAGTGAGAATATTGTAGTCCTTTCAAGGTAGTAAGGTTCAGGGATCGTGGGACTTGGAGATGAAGAAGAATAGTTTGAACTTTTTTTTTTCTGTAAGTATTTAATTGTAGGGTCTTGAAACACATTTCTTCTACTAGTAAGTAACAAATATTGTGAAGTTTGTTTGCTCATAGCATTGGTATTTTTCTAGAAAAGAATGAGATGAAAGCATATTGAACAGTGGTATTTTAAGAAAATGGATGTAAATCCAGATGTCACATGACAATTATTCAGAATATAACTGTTAATGCAGATTTTTGATGCCCATTTGTTTTGATGGGTATAATTTCTCACTGCTTAATTTTTAATTATTTAACAGTTTCTAGAAGTGTGATGTAAACCATCTTATTGAAGCAGAACTATTAATTTACTCAGTAAGTTATTTAGGTTGTCACATATACTTCTGTTTGGTTCAACATAACAAACCTGCAAAATAGTCAGTTTCTTTAAAATAATCCATTGTAAGTCTGATCTCAGAAAGCTTTAGCATAAGCTACTGTTTTTCCTTGGTGTCTGCAATAAAAAGTACCAACCCACACACTTGTTAACTGGTTTGGAAATTTTCATCTCACTGTGATGATTGATGCCTAGCTGCCCAGTAATGTATCATTATTGTCTCTATAGAATTGGTTTGTTTGTTTTTTTTTTTTTTTTTTAAAAAAAATCTCTTATAACCATGTTTTATGTTTGAATATCAGCATATTTTTAAATATTGACAAGCTGGTGATTGTTTTCATCAGCACACGTAAAGGCTAAAAAATGCACTGTTTTTTATTTCAGTTATTCAATAATCAACAAATGTATATTAAGAAAAAAACTAATTCAGAGTACGAAATATATTTTTATATGTAGCCAGAGTCTAAAGTTGCACCTGCCCTAGACAAGGTAAAAATCTAATCTCGTTTTAGGAAGCAGAGAGAACTTGAAGAATATGAGAGAGAGAGAAAAAGAGAAGAAAAATTGCGCAAGAGAGAACAGAAGCAGAAAGATCGTGAAGTTCGACGAAACAAAAAGCAGCTTGAGAAACTTCAAGCTGAAGAACAAAAGAAACTTCAAGAGAAGATAAAGTTAGAAGAAAGGAAGCTCCTGTTGGCACAGAGAAATCTTCAGTCCATTAGGCTAATTGCGGAACTGCTAAGCAGGGCAAAGGTAACTATTATTTATTGCAAAAGCTAATGAGAAACCTGGCAGAACAACTGACGTAGGTGGGAGTGGGGGGCTGCTGCTCCTCATGGGGTTGTACTAAACCTGTTGTTTAGTTCAAAAATTCAAAACATTGCAATGAGCCCTTGGTAAAATGTGCACATAAAGGTGAATGGAAAAGTGAACTTGAATCTGTAGTCCTTCCAAGACTAATTGGTAGTCCTCTCAAGGCTAGGAAAAGAATGTAAACATGATAACATTAATTAAACAGACGCTAAGATATAAGACTCCTCATTTCTGATTTGGGTTTTGGTACTCTTTCCACTGTAGCCTTCAGCAGTTCCACTATTTCAGGTTTCAGAGAAAGGGGTTTCATTATTTGATGTTTAAAAAACATGTAGAATGATTTATACTCCGGAGCAAGTACTGTCAATTAAAGTTTTGAATGTTAGATTCTGTCTCTAATGGTGATGGTTTTATTTTTTTTCTCTAGTATTTGATTAAGATTTGGGTAAAGTTTTGTTAAGGTATTATGTAATACACTTGAAGTTTTTTTTGCAGGAATGAAAAGCAGTGTGGCAAAGCACACTTTGTTCTTTGATGCTGGTCTTTCCCAGTAGTGTTTTTGAATTAGAGCTCATACAATGCTAAATGGTCAATTGTATGCTGGGAGAAAAGAGGAGTAGTTCTTGTGGGTTTTGTGGCCAAGTAGACTCATAAAATAGGAGTTTTATTTTCTGTCTATAATATTGAGGACTGCACCAAGCCATTTGGTGTGGAATTAAAAAAAAAAAAAAAAAAAAAAAAAAAAAAAAAAGGAGAGAGAGTTTGAATCTCTCTTTAGTGTCATGTGTCAGTAAAGTGATTGACAATGTGAGAATCAGTTTCTACATGACTGTTTTTTTTTTTTTTTTTTTTTAATAGATCTATTGTAAAATAGTTTATGAATTATAGGTCACAAAACTGTAGGAGAAATTAAGTTTTAAATTTGTCTGAAACCTTCAAGTGTTGAGCTTGAGAATTATCAAATATTTCAAATTGCGTATGTTGCTCTTGCTTGTGTGTTACATTTCTCATACTAAGGGTGCATAAAGATGAAGCTTTTCTTTGCATTGTGAAACTGCTGAAACTGAATCCACAAAATTCTTGTCGATGTTATACTGATATTTCACTTTACAACAACTGCATGTTACAGCATTCTTTATTTATTTATTTATTTTTCTCTCCTGTAGCAGAGGAAGCAATCTTTTTATTTTAGGACCTTCAACGTCTGTTCATAAGACATTTTATTTTCTTACCAGTTTGCTGCTTATGTGTTATGGTACGACTTGGAAGCATGAACAGATCTATAAGTATTTTCTTTACTGTTACTTTCCCTTTCATTGTCTTTCAGACAGTAAAGCTTTTGGAACAAGAACAAAATGAAGAAAAGATCCGTCTCCAGCAACTAGAGGAGAAACGAAAGCTTCAGGAGGCTGAGCTCAGACGTGTGGAAGAAGAAAAAGAAAGAGCACTGGGGTTGCAAAGAAAAGAAAAAGAACTGAGGGAGAAACTACTGAACAATCTTCTTAGCAAGAAAATGGATGCAGTTCATCAAAGCAAAGAAGAAACGGAAGCATCTCAGTCTGGCACTGTGAAAATTGCTAGTGATGTTCCGCACACCGTGTCATCCAGCTGCATCACTTCTACCTCAGGACAGGCTGTTACAGACAAACTGGCATCAGACTCTCAAAGAGAACTACCATCCCCTGAGAATGTAAATGCTCAATGCAAGTATTTGAATGGCAATATTCATGACAGAGTTGATGTCAAAGAAGGTCAGAAACTTCATACCACGGACTCGGAGAGGTGTTCAGAGAAAAGAAGTTCAACACTGTCATGTGTTCCTGCCAATAACCAGAAGCAGAATACCTGCAAGAAGGACTCGCGCTGTGAGCAAAGCAAACAAAGCACAGAGCCAAGGAGAAGAAAGAGCCGTTCATGTAGCAGCATAAACACTGATGAGAGTAAGGGTAAGCGAGAGAGAACCAGGCACAGAAGAGATGCGAGTTACCAGGATGAAAGAAGGAGGAGGGAAAGGAGGTATTATAGACACTCTAGCAGAAGTTACAGTCCTCGACGAAGTCATAGTCCTCGTCGAAGAAGTGTAAGCCCCAGGCGTTCACATTATAGAAGAACTCACAGTAGTGAACGTAAACGAGACAGAAGAGAAAAAAGCCGTAGTCGCAGAAGCTCAAGCAGGAAACGAAGGTACCGAAGGAGATCACTGAGTAAGCAAAGGAGTACTTGGAGTGGGTAGTGGAGGCCCCAACTGTTTGAAAAGGCTGTGGTTGGACACAAGGGCCAGAAAGTCGTAAATGAGACCTCACTGGTGTGACTGCTGTAAGAAAACACTTCTGATTCAACCAATGCATAACTTGCATCTAGTCCCTAAAATAGATGCCTGATTTTTTGAAGTTCTGTTGTGCTTTGTTGTCTCTTTCTAGGTTTCTACCACAATGTAGTTGTACTGCTCGTATTTGAATTCCTACTGTGCTAAAAGCCAACCTGCTTTCTGGATTTTTTTTTTTATTTTTTTTTTCAGTTTTCTAAATTGTAATTTCAGCTGATTTACTTTTTCCTCTCTTATGTATGTGCCAGTTACAGGAACTCCAGTTGTGACAAGCTTTGACCTACAGATTTATCTAAAATGCTTTCTGGTGTACTTAATGAAATCATGTTTAACAAAGTAGAATTTTTCCTGATTGAGACAGATAACAAGACTTTCGTATGATTCTTAAAACTGACTATTAAGATATGCAGGAAATCTTTTAAACTGCTGTGATTCCTTCATACATCTGTATAGTGCCAGGCTTTGTTGCCCAAGCTATTCTGGTATGTAATGCCCTTTGTGTAGTAATACTTTCCATGTAAGAAAGGCACACTGGTGTAGGAAGTAAAAAGCAGTGGTAAAAAGGTAGAAAAGTTGTTTTGTTGCCTTGTTGACATACTTGGCTTTTAATTACTTCGGGTGATGTTAGAGCCACTTGAAGCTTTTTTTCAGGTACGTACAGAGCTAGCCATTGTCTTTTGAAAAAGGGGCCTTCTTGCTAAATTATTTTTACTTGTGGTGTTGGAAAGTAAGGCTGCAGTGTCTCTTGTTAAATGCATTTAAGACTACATTTGCTTCTAAAATGGAGCTCAGGAATATGAAAAGCTATAACGTTACAGTGAAAGAGTTTATTTTGCCTTTTTATGGTAAAATTAAAGAGAAACCTGTTTCCAGTGAACTGAAGTCGCTGTTTTCATGTGTCAGTATGTTAATACCTGCAGAATTGTTGTATGAGAATCATTTTGTTTAAAACAAGCAAACATTTGAATAATGAGGCTTAGCTGCTTGTCTTGCCAGTCCTGTCATATACAGCTGCATCCACTGTTAGTTCAGCAGGATGTGTGCTCCTGGGGTGCAGTTTTCCCTACACTGATGTGGGGAGTGCCTCTTTGTTTCTCTCCTTGAATCCACAGACTGATTTATCTAGTCATGCTCAATACCACCAGTCTCCTGAATTTGAGCAGCTGCTTTTGTTGATGAGTTAATTTTCTACAGTCTTTGCTGAAGTATTAGAAATCTATCTACTTGAAGATAAACATATTTTGTAACAGTTTGGCTGAAACCCACTATAATGTTGATTGCAAGTTTTGATGGAATGCCTGTTTGTAAATCTCTGTGACTCTAGCCTGCTATCAAATAACTGATGTGCTATCCATGGTAACGTCATATTTGAGGGAAGGGAAAAAAAAAACAACTGTGATTCCATCTGCAGTTCTGTAAGAAGTTGACCTAAGGCTGTCAATGTTTTTGAGCTCAGGGTTAGGATTCTTACTAGTTAAGTATTAACTTAACTAGTTAATACTAGTGGATGGTAGTGTGGATTTCCACTGGGATTTATGTCAGGATCTTGGCAATTAATATATGTAATTGGGGAAATGCTAGTATGTAGTGCTACTTTCAGGAGGTCTTCAGGCTGACACATCATATTGAGCACTGTCTTCATACAACATACAACATACAAAAAGTACAGTAGCATAAAGTATTCCGTTGATTAAAAGCCTAAAAGTGCTTTGAAGCTACTTGCAAATGCTTACTTAAAATGTGAGGAGAGAATATGAAGGTAGTTGTCTTTCAGCCAGCTTGACCCAATCACAGCCTCTTAAAACTACTGCTTAAAGTTGCCCAATAAATATGCTCACTGCAGAATTTCATCTAGTATTAACACTTTGAGGTATTGTTTCAGATGCATGTTTTGCTTCAAAGCTCTCCAAAGTCTTTTCAGTGCTGAATCCACTGAAATGAATATTGCATCCTGTTTCCTTGTAACCTGGGTCTGGCTGGGCTAACTTTAACTTCATTCATAGCAGTGAGCAGGTTGGTGGTGCTTGGTTGTTGTTATTCAGTTACACAGTGAGATGCACAGTGACATGGACTCCAAAACAAACAAAAAAAATAATAATGCCATCCTATGGTACCTGGGACTGCAAGATAATTTTTTGTCAGCTGAATGACAGGCATGGTACAGTGGTACTTCTTTATAGACCAGCTTCTTTGTCTACTCCATCTGTTCTATTTGTTGGTAACCCAGGACTCGGCATGTTCTAGTCTATTTCACTCCATATGGCCTTGATAATGATGCCTATAGCTGAATGCTTTTGTACTGCAAGTAACCAACAGCACCCACAAGGCAGTCAGTTTAAAACCTGTTCAGATATTTTTCTACTCTGTGATAAGTGTGGATGTACCGTGGAACTGTAGTGGGCGCCACCACGTTTCTGTTATTGGTTCCCAAATTCAGCATTGATGATGTCTTTGAACTGCAAAGAAACTTGTTGAGACTGTAATCTTTTGATACAAACACAGCTATAATTATGTTCTGCTCTGCCCAGTACCATCTATTAAAATTTTTTTCTTATTGCTGAGGTATGTGCTTGTAATACTTCAAAAACCTCGGTGGTGCGATAACATGAAGAACATTATTTTTGATAGTAATCACGTGTTCTGTATTGATTATATGTCATTATATCTCTACCAAGTGCATTCTAGAGGTCTTTGTGTTTCAAATGAAAGAATCTGGAATACCAGCAGGCTTTCTAATGGCTTCTAGAAGATTACATATTACAGTCACTGATATTTTACTCTCTTCTGGAAGAATATTGTGATGCTGATTGTCTGCTTGTATTTGCAGGACTGACTTTGAGGAGCTGAAAAAATTAGTTGGTCTTTACCTTCTTTAACATTCATTAAGAGTTAACAACTAATAATTATCAAAGACATCCCAAAATGCTTTTGAAGTACTGAATTTATATTGATATGATGAATATTGGACAGATACCGACTAACACGTAAGGCTACTCTGTTAACTTTACTCTCAGGCATTTAGCTGCTAGAAATCCAACTGTGAGAATTTCTGCAAAGGTATCTATTTGCATGTTTTAACTCCTGAAATTGGGCTATGAGAATTATGTACCAATGGTTATCTGACTCTTACTCCTTGCTTTGACTTGCCGTGAGATATGCATTACTTTTGTTTCATTGCATCAAAGTTGTACATGTGTTATCCCATTTGTTAGTGTTCCTATTTATTTCCCTTGCAAAGTGACTGGAAATAGAGATTGATATCAGCGTTTTTATCTGAAATATGGCTGGAAGAGTAGCTTATTCAACAGAAACTACTTCCTATACACAGGAATGCTCCAAGCCCTTCAGTGTCTTGTTGTGAGGCTTTTCATCTGCTTACTGGTTGCCGTGGTAATTTTGATAATGGGCAAGTCTTACTGCCAGAAGTAATCGAGATGAGTAAGAAGTGGTTACTAAAACCATGACTATATCCGTATTTCTTCTAATTGAGTCTGCCTTTGTAGAGTAAGCTATTCAGTGACATAAAATAAAGGGATATGGGTGATTAGGTTGTGCTAATAAAACACTTCAAATGTCATATGAAAATAGTATCTTGAAAACTGTTAAGAGTAAATGGTAATTTTAACACTGGCTTTCAACATAGCAACTATGGGATTGTGTAGTTGATGACTGACCAGTGCAGTCTGGACATCACAGGTGTCAGCTTTAAGGCAGTTTTGAACACACTGTGTAAGAGACTTGCAGCTGCTCGTGTTTAAGAGCAGGGGTACAGGTATTAGTTAAGGCAGCAATTAAACTGAGTAGTTTGGTATGTGCCTTAATTTATAAATGGGTAAGGAAAAACAACCTCTGTTATCTTGTATTGTTATACTGGTTAAATCTTTTTTAAATTATGATTAAAAGAAAATATATGCATTGCCTATGTCTGATATGCTGCCTTTGAGGTTTGGTTATAATCTGGATGCAAAAGTCATTTCATTAAGTTTATATTGTATTATATTGACGTAGTCCTTCTCCAGCCTGACAAGTATGTTAATTGCAGAGTCTCTCTTGCAGCATCACAATAAATTTACAGAGCTGTCTCTAGAGTGTGTATAAGGCTGCAAACAGGTTGCAGTTCTTCCTTCAGTATGGGGTATGCGGAAGCTATCCCATTGCTGTCTTATGTTCTTATGTGTAAGTGTCACTTTACTGGTATCAAAAGGAAGTGTACCAGTATTTTTCTGTTGTACCTAATCTGAAGACTGAAGGCCTGTAATGCATGGCCTTTTTTTTTTTTTTTTTTTTTTTTTTTTTTTTTTTTTTCCCTAATCATAATACAGAAAGCACACTGTACCAATTTTCCTCTTACACGCTGTATGGCCCCAACAGCATCTTCTGCTACCTAACAATAAATCTGTGGATTGGTTTTGCCATAGGTACAGGTACAACTTCTGAAAGTATAAAGCTGTTTGGAATGTTCTTCAGTTGATAACTAATCTAGTCACATGTGCACTGTGGCAGCTGTAAAGTGAGTTCCACCTGGTCTGGGTGGGATGCTCAGGAGTGCCATCCTTGAAATGATTATTTGTAGGACAAAGAAAAGGGTTGATGGTATGGGGGTTCTCTGGGCAGCCCAGAAGTCTAAACCTGTCCAGCAGCAAGTGCCCGAGCAAGTATTTATGATCTTGCAGGGATAGATCTTCCCTGCAATTCTGTGCATGACTATGGGAATATGCCTGAGTAATCTCCTAGGAAGTACTAGTAGGAGTGTCTGCTACTGTCTACCTTAACCAGGAAAGGGAAGGACTGTCAGTGTCTTTCCCTTTTGCTGTCTGCCCTGAATGTTGATCACAAAGAGCATAAGGCTGTAACAAGCATTTGAGATGTGTCAGCAGGTGAGAAGAGGGGTGCTTACCCATGTCAAGCCATGGGGAGACTTGTCACTGAAGCTCAGTTTGGAAGTAACAGATTGCTTATGGCTTCAAATATGTTCTCAATCAGAGTTTCTGCTGAGAAAGGGGAAAGAGACTGAGCTGGGTATACAGGATTTCCTGCCTGCTACAAATGTCTGCCAGTACTGTATGTGATGTAAACAGGAAAAACTAAAACTAGCTGGTTTCAAAACTGGTAGCCAAACATGAGAAGAACAAGAAGTGAAAAAGAAGAAAGTTTCATTGAAGCTGGATGTTCAGACAAAGAAAAAATATGATACTGTCTTAGCTTGTTAGTATTCTTTTTTTTTTTTTTTAAAAAAAAAAAAAAAGCATCAGCTATTATCTTAATGAACTTCCAGGCCAACAGACACCTGACAATAAACTCAGTATGTTCAGAGGCTGAATGTTAGTGAGAACAGTTGTTTCCATGGTAATGTTATAGAAGCTTGTTGGTATTGTTGTGTCCCTGAGACTTATTGCTCATAAAGAAAGTTGTATGCATGAATATACTGTCAGCTGTCATTTCTCACCAGCAGGCACATTAATTTCACTTGAAATATGCTTTATTCATTAAGAATTTCTTTTAAGCATTATACAAAAATGGTGTTTTGTTTTTGTCATATTTGTCTGTAGTGCAAAGATGAATTTATTACCAGAGCAGAAACCTGAAGATAAAGTATCAGCTTTAGCCTGAGTGTGATCTAAGTGCTATGACAAAAACCTTGATGGGGTTTTCAGAGGCAGAAATCCACTGCAAGTTCATCTCCATGAATGCATTTTTAGCTTACAAGGGGCTTAGGCTTTAAGCCCCAGTAAAGTTTACTTGGAAACAGCAACACAGTGCATGTGGCTCTAGATCAATCTGATGTGAGTTATCCGTAACCCTCCTCCCCTGTATCTCTCTGCTGGTAGTAATCCCATTAGATGATTGCATCTGGTGTCCTTGACAGATGGATTTAGTCAATTGAAAAAGAACTCCAGCTGGTTTAATCGACTGTGTGGTTGTTTTATAACCAGAGCCTCTTGTACCTACAACTTTGCCTCAAGTGGAGTGGATCTATGGCTCATTACTGGGCTCTATCAGTTATGCACATAACCATTTTGTTATTTAGTTAGAACTACAAGAATTGAGATGTTTTAAGCATTTTCTTTTCCTCTAGAACTGTCTTTAGAATGGGTCTGAGGAACAGGGGAGAACGGTTTTAGATTTGGTGAAGTGAATGAATTTTGCAGAATCACAATTCCAATATGCGTTACCTAAATGATAGCTGTGATTAGTCAATATCTTTTGGGGTGTGGGGATAGCTGGGGAAGATGCTCCTTTTTTTTTTTTTTTTTTTTTGGTGTAGCCACGTTATTGGAATCTGTTGTCTAGTTTTCCTTCAAAGAAGCCACCTCTTGTTGTATAAATCAGCTCACATTTTACAGTCGCGGGCAAGGAGGTATGGTTCAATCTGCAGCATTCACAATACAAAACCAGCAGAATCTAATCTGTACAGACACATCAGGCAAGGCCATAACACTGTAATTGCAGGCTGTGTTGTCCAGGATGGTGAACTCTGTTTGTACAGTTTGGGTGAGCTGTAGCTTTTTTATGTTTGGCAGAAACGCGTTGGTAATGCAGTACGCCTTGTGTTGATAGAATATAGGAAACATAGATGGTTTTTGCGTTGTGTACAGAAGGGAAAAAGGCTGATAACTACTTCAAGAGTTAGTTACAGTTAGCTAGTTATATTTCACTGTTTTATTACTGGCTAAAACAAATACAGTATTTTCTGGCTATAATGAAAGGAACATAATAGAAAATATGGATTGTCAAAAGGAAACTTTCAGTTGTTAAAGTTTTGCTGCATCCTCAGAGTGGCAAAAAGGAAAGTATAGGAAACTGAATTGGCCTGTTTCTTCTATAAATGAGGTAGGATCAAAGGAAAAGCACTGAACTGGCCTTCTGCAGTTGCAGATAAATACAACCCTAATTCCTAGGAAAAGGAGAACATCAAAATTTTATGTTGGGACAGTACTATAAGTGCACCTTTTTAAAGATGCAGTGTGATAAAGTACACAAAATGTTGAGCTGCATTGTATTGCTCAGGTTTTGACTGTTAACCTTACTGCTGAAGCACGGAAAAAAACTACAACTGGAAAAGCATTATTTTGTAACATGTTGCCATGGCCATATCACCCAAGTCAGGTCTGATTTAATCTTATTGACTGAAGGGTCACTAAATGTGTAATATAAAAACTGTGTTCCTTTCTAGAAAGGGCCTGCTTTTACAAAATGCTGAGGGCACGATGACCAGCGTTTACAAGCTGGTGTAATGAACAGTGGGGCTGATGATGAAGATGACATCTATTCCACGTCAGTCATTTGGAGGTCATCTCATGGTCACCTGCAAAATAAAGGAAAACATGAGGAGTAAGTTTAGGGTTTTTTTTTTTGTTTGTTTGTTTTTTTTTTTTTTTTTGTAGACTTTGCTTGCGTGACAACTGTCAGAACAAATTTATCACTGTGACAAAGCAGGACAGCAGACAGGCTCTTGTAGCCCTTCCTTGGTCTTGCTGTTTCTGTGCCTATGGATAGGGTGTGCTTCATGGCAGTCTGTGGACCTGTGCCTGTCACAGCACTTCTGAGGTCCCCTCCTGCATGCTTTGCAGTAGTTATGTCATTCTTTAAATTGTATGGCTAAGCCTTGATGTCACGCTATTCTAATCTGAACAGGTCCCTGTTTCAGTGGTATCAAGGTAAAGATTGTGTGTGTCTCCTAGCTCATGATGATTGATGGATGAGTGAAACTAGGAAGGTCAGATATGCTTGGCTTGGCTAGGAGGATGTCTAGACCTTTCTGAACTGAGTGGATGCTCCTCCACTCATAACCCATGAGAATGTCCCAGTTTCACTTCTTCAGAAGCATGCCACCAAGTTGTCTTCTGTCCTCTGGTCCCATTTCATTGGGCTTCCTGTACTAGGAATGTCTCTCAGCATCAAGACATCAGTGTGATGGGATAGAGCTGCTTTTGAAGAAGCCTAGGATAAGACTTGGGTTTGGTTTATGAACTGGTGCATTATAATGAGTTCAGGTTCCTCATATCTGCTCTGTAGTGTGGTCTTCAGAGCTCGTTTTTTCCTCAGACATCTTCAACTTTCAGTTGTTTCTGAAATACCATCATGTTAATTGACCACTGAACCAATGGTATTTGCTTTAATCTGCACCAACACTTCTTAGCCTGGTTCTTGATGATGAAAGATGCAAAGAAATAGTTGAGGCTGCCTTAAAAAAACTGTTGAAGGTAAATAACTTAGCTTATGTGTTTGTTAACCGAAGTGTTTCTCAGAAGCAATGAGATTAAGTGGATCAGCTGGTGTGCTGTGCCTAGTGGAAAGAAGCTTATTTAAATTAAGAGGAGCAGAGAACCTGTGTCTCAGTACTAAAGGAAGATGGACTCCACAGAAGACCTTGACTATCCTCAAATCATCTTTCAATACAGCAATGGATTTTTAGTCTCAAAGGTAAGAACCATAAATCAGTCTTGGATAAAAATCTTAAAAGCAAAGTGAAAGATATACTCAAAAATCTCACCTTAGTTCCTTAATCTAAACCTTTAGAAAGAAAATAGGATAGTTTCCTATGGGACAATCTCCTCATCTAGCTGTGAAGGAAATTTGAGAAGACAAAAGTTTGAGAACTTTGGCTCCTCAGGTGAGAGTTAATGTTTATTGAGATCCCACTGACCTTAGGATGAGCAGATCTTGTTGCTGCTGGAGGCTTTGAAAGCACAGTGCTTTATAGCTGAGAACTTGTTGTCTGCCTCAAATGAGCAAGGCTCCTTACATCATGGGATGTCTCTTTTTTTTTTTTTTTTTTTTTTTTTTTTTTTTTTTTTTT